ATAAAGTCTTGTCTTATTGCCGGGGCTAGAATGTAACAGTGTGATCTTGGCTCACTGCAACTGCCACCTCCTGGGTTCAAGCCATTTTATTCTGCCTCAGCCTCCTGAGTAGCTGGGATTATAGGTACCCTTCAGCACACCCACCTAATTTTTTGTATTTTTAGTAGAGATGGCATTTCACCACGTTGACCAGGCTGGTCTCGAACTCCTGACCTCAGGAGATCTGCCTGCCTTGTCCTCCCAAAGTGCTAGGATTACAGGCATGAGCCACTGTGCCTGGCTGTATATAAAGCCTGGCTGTATATAAACACTTTTAAATTTATATAAAGCCTTTTAAAGAGGTGTGAAGGTAACAGTATACAAAGGAAAAAATGTACAGTTTTTCACCATCCATATGGCCTTATTTAAAAAACTGACACAAGAATTACCTACTACTTAGGCATGATGCTGTGTGGATTATCCTTTGTGACCTTCCCTTTCACCTTCATGTTACTTCCACACTTCACAGAAGAAAGGCATTCAACCTACATTGAGGGTCTTGCATTTCATTGGTTTGAGAGAACCAAATAAAGAGACAGATACTCAGGGCCACATGTTAAGGTGAATGTACGCCTGAAAGTTGTTTTGCTTTCCAGTCAATAGGTCCTGGCTACCCTGGGAAGAGACAAGAAATGAATGAAGAAAGAGGAAGATTCCAGGACCTAGATATGATTTCTGTGAATACGCTTCACTGGTAGTGACCGGGGTTTCTAACTAGAAATTTAAGGCAGATCCAGAGGAGACAAAGACAGAGTATCCCAGTGCTGGCCATTTCCGACAACAGAAGAAAATGCTCAATGCCCAGGTGACTTTTCTCTATTTTATTCTCTCCTTTATTCCATAGCGGATTTGTAGAGACCTGTAAGAAATCATTTCAGAATCTAGAGAGAAATAAACTTTAACTCCAACATCATGGCAAAGATCAGGAATGTAGCGTTTATAAGATTCCTACAAAATGACTGATGTTGGAACATAATGCCTGGCTAGAAGATCTTTTCTATTACGTTAGCTGTCAGCTTGCATCTGATGTCTCTTGTCAGCCCGTACAAGAGAGTCATGCTAAGTTATGTAATATACAGTAACTGAGGAGAAAGCAGAGCTTCCTCAGTAGATCATTATTTCATGGCAGTTAGATCTCAAGAAAAATTTGCCATCCTTCTCAGAGGTGATGTGGTGAACAGTGTTTTGAACTAGCTTTCTAATAAAGGCAGAAGATTTCTTACTGCTGTTTATTACAGTGTTCCTCAGATACTCCTATGGAAAAAGACCGGGTAAACTCAGTGCACTGACACAGTTTTTTCAGGGGTCGAAAGCAAGACCACTCAAAGGACTCAGTCTTGTGTGTCTGTGTGAGCTTATTTAGGAATAAAATCTAAGTGGCCTAGGAAAATGGAAGGCGTGTTTAACTTCCATTTGTCCTGAACAGGTGGCTGAACTGGCATATAACTACAGATTTGGCATTAGGGAGTTGGGTCTTGAGTTGTTGGGTGCTGCGCTTGATAATTTCACCTCATCTCAGAATATACAGAATCCTTCTGCATTTTCATCTCCAATTCTTCCATACTTTTATTGCTTGATGTAAATTACTCGTGGATTCCAAAGGGAAAAAATTGTGGTTTGTGGTTTTTTT